AGATAATTTTATGGGGGGGTCTACTGGGCAGCCACGTGGCGTGGTTTTATATAGTCTTGGCAGCCAGCCAGAAGGAAGGAACCTACGAAATCTCTCCTTCACACAGCTGCTCAGTGCAGTTGATTGGTGCTCCTGCATTGGGGGGTGCGGAGCATTGTCCATCAGTTTGATTGAATAGCTTGCTATCACCTCCTCTCTCCCACCCACCTGCACTGAGGGTCGAGGGGGCAAACCCAAGGACAGCAGGTGGCCCTTTCTTGATTCAGGATTTGTCGCAGTCTCTTGCCTGCTCGAACTGCTGAGATTGCCTTTTGCTGGACTCCAAAGCAGACTACTCCAAAGAAACATGGCTGATGCCACAACAGTGTAAAGAATGACCCTTAGGAAGCTCAACCCTGCCACTCCCGGGAGTAGATAGAGGTCTGGTAAGAATGCGACCTGTACTTGTATTAGCCGCCTTCTAGTCTCGAGCCACTCAAAGCGCTTTTAACTACGTGCCACATTCACCCTTTCACACACATTTCACTCAGCTGCATGGCAAAGTCATCGAACAGAACAACTCATTTCATACACATTCACACACCGATGTATGCACATTCACACACCGGATGCTATGCAATTGGGGGTTCAGCTTATCTTTGGCCTCAAGGATACTTCGACAACGTGGCAGGAGGAGCCGCGGGGGATCGAACAACAACCTCTGATTGGGCGGGGACGCAACCCCGCTCTGCCTCTGGGAGCCACAGGCCGCCCCCGGGACTGCCTCTGGCCTTTCTGATTAAAGTGCGATGAATGTTTGTGGAGTTCCAGGTCCAGTTTATTGCTTTCAGGGTGAACACCCAGGTACTTGTAAGAGTCCACTCTCTCTATGTCCATACCCAGAGTGTTCACCGGTGCCGGGGGGGCGTGACTGCGCCTGCGGAAATCAAATGATGGACATGTAGCCAAAATAATACTCCTTCAAACCACCTGCTGTGCATTCTCATCTTATAAAATACCTCTGAGGAACATTAAGCATCCCTTGACTCCAAACACTGACAAGATAGCGTATCAGTGTTTCACCAGCATCATTCATTAAACATACACACACAGAGGAGCTCTACAGCCCCGGCCAGACGCCTCAGATAAGGAAGACATCACTTATTCACAGGCCAACATAAATCTCCATAACAACAAGGAGATAACAGATGAACTAGACGCAGGAGAGAGAGGCGACGTGTACTCATTGAACGGTCACAGTACTCCACTATGCACAATGCTGGAAGCTGGAAGTTGGGGCACTGATGACGTATTACGGGGCAGAAGAGACTAATGATGGTTCAGAGATGCAATTATGCTGGCTTCACTTCAAAAAACACAGGTGGAAGAGTGAGTCAAAGAGCAAATGCCAGAGAGGACATTGTTGAATGGATGAGCATGCACAAGGAAAAAAGATGAAAGCCTCCGTGGCCAATCAAAAAGATGAGTAACTATATAGCCTACAAAACAATGAAAAACACTTGTGTGTATGTATGCTGAATTTGTAAAAGCATTGAGCGCATACACACAAATGTTTTTAGAGTGATGAATTGGAATATGAGTGGTTACAGGTCTGTGACAGGTGCACTCAGAGGTTTTCTATTGGTGCCATTCTATAAATAACAAAGGCATTTAAATTTACACAAAAACAGAAACATTTCCAACTATAAGGGTAGTCGGAGAAAACCTGGGGGAAACCACAATGGTTGGTCAAACTGGCAGAAAGGCTGCTGTGATTGGACAGACTTCACAGAGATTGGTCGAATTTGCGTTAACTGTTATGATCGCAACATCGCAACTTCCTGGAGGGACTGAAGTGTTCCAATCAACCTATCTCGCAATGTTAATGAAATCCTTTGTAGTAGAAATCCAGAATAGTGTTTCTTAAGTTGATTTCAAAGGTCTTGAGGGGTACAACTGCACATGTAAAAAAAGTTGTATAAAGCCCTTTGCACAGCCCTCTCTGGAGCCACAAAGTCTGAGAAAATTGTCTCAAGTGATGTTAATTGAGTCAGCGTCAGTCGAGGATTAAGATTAAGTATGAAGTATGAAAATGAAAAAAAAATAAAATAATATGAAGGTGTGGAGACGTGAGCTCTGTAGCCCACTGCTCAACACTAATCTCCAACGGAAATGTTGGCTGTGGAGTTGTGGGTAATGTAGGAAGGAAGAAAAAACGATTGTTCTCATGATTAAAAAAAACATTAACTGTGGATAGGACACAGGATTTGAAATCTCAAGCTCCGATGGCGCCCCATGTTCCTATCCATACGAGCCAGATTGCCTCCCTCTTTGTGGCTCTATAACAAACGTACACAATTGCTCAATATGGACAAAAGTCAGAATTCCTATGTTCGCTAGAGAGCTTTGAATGTAAACAACTGTCATTTTTGAGCATTTGCTAAACGGACTGATGCTGTTTTTTCTTGGGAGGACAGTCTTTAATGGTCTACAGTGCTACCTGGCCACATATGTATCTTCGTGTGCCAAACAAAGATAAAAAGGAAAACAAACCAGAAACCAGTGCAATAAATTATTGAGTCAACTCCCTTTGATTCTGTATACAGCTGGATCAACTTTATTTGCTGTTTAAAAGACGGCAGCCAAACCTGGGCCAAGTTATCAAAATCAGCAAAATATAGGACAATCTTTTATTTTATTCAGTTATATAAACGTTCTCATATTCGCATTGCAATCTCTGCTGCTGTGGTAACGTTGACCGTCTGCATCACACACACACACACGGATGCAGGAGTTGAGATCGGCTCTGTGCGGCTCCATGTGTAAAGGATGGCACTAATGCTACAGGGATTACAAGTTTCATTCCCACTGGGGCTACTCATGTTAAATATGCATACACTGATAATACTAAAAGACTAAGAACAGAGCTCATCCAATTGCATATGCCGCCTTATCAAAGCACAGTTAGGTTTAATAGTCAGACACATAAGCCATTCAGCTAGCTGCAGTGTCTCTTAGTGTCCTTATCTATCATGGTGCAAGGCTCCCAGTGTGAGCCATTTGACAGTCTAATGGGAGACAGGAGGGCTCAATGCAGTCTATAAGGGAGAGAGCAAGTGTGCTAAAAATCCAGTGATCGTAGATTACTCCCTTCAGGTCACAGACTTGTTTGGATTATCTTGAGTTAAATATTGCCTTTATATGTTTTTCTGGATGCTAATCTGACTTTTATAGTGAGTCCACCCATCATCTCAGTCTAAATTCCAAAGTGGTGCTCCCA